GCATTCAGTAACTCTGCCTTCTCTGTATCTATTCATCTACTAAGTATCAACAAAATGTCAGAAATACAAATTCTGCAGTTCTGATGGGATGAAGTCGGTTTTCATTTCTCCTAACTTCTCAGTGGAATCAAGACAAGCACATAAAAGAAGAGATGCATGTTTGACTCATATCTGAATTCTGCTAGGAAATACAAAGCTTCTGGTCTCAAACACAGCGAAGTCTCTAGACTGGTACAGAGAAAAATGATGGATTCTGAAAGGCACAGCCTCTTCAGTTCTTCACCACATTAAACCAGGTGAGCTGTGTATAAGTAGTTTCATTAATACAATCTGATTTTATACTAAATAGACTATAAAAGTGCTATAAATAACAAAAAGCTGACTTTAGATGAGTATTTATTTTTCAGTACAACCCACCATCAGGAGGTCATAGTGCCTTCTAAATTGCTGATGTACTCTTAGCATAGAGTAAGATTTAAAACATTTTCTTTGAAATGTTTCAGACTGGGATAAAACTTTTCATATTTTCCTTGCAAAGAATGAGACCATGCTCTTATAAATTAAGGAAAAGTAAAGAAGAAGCCTTACTGGTTTGTATCTTAGTGCATCTCTGTAGGATCCAAACAGTGCTGCCTGTGCCCGAAGAAAGGCCTTGGCTACTCCATCACCCGTAGCTGTAGACTGCTTTTTCAGTTTATTTTTCAAGGCCGAGACCTGCATGACAGAGTGGAACAGTTAAATTAACACCTCAGAAATTGGTACAGCGAGGTATGAACCCAATCAGCAGGCAAACCATGGTGCCTACAGGTCAGCCAAAAATTCATCCCCCTCCTTGATAGCTTATCTTTTTAACTGCAAAGAGCACCTGCTGGCCTGTTAATTGAAATGAAAACAGGGGATGATGGTAGAGTGCTAATGCAAATTGGTTTATGCTCTCTTTTTTTTCCCAAGGCCTCTTGACATAAATAAGCTTAATTATTTTACAGTAAAATGTATGTGAGCCACTTCTGTGCACATTTTTTTTCTTAGTCATAACATGTACCTACTTGTTTTGAATTAAGACAGTTGGATATTTTTTATTTATGCTATGAAGGCTTATTTTTAAAGACTCTTAATGGCCACTTACTATTCAGTTTTAGGGTTTTTTTTCTTTTTAAGTCAAATTACTATCTTACATAATTTCTCATGTGCCATGGGAGTAGCTGCTACTACTGTCAAAGAGTTGAGAAAAGTTTGTGTAAATTCAGTGCTAAATTGCTTTTAGAATTGTCCTTGGAGATAAAACATGTGAAAGGGAAAAAAAAAATAAGAACACCACTTAGGAGGTACCTGTAATTTAAAAATGAACAAACCACACCATTCTTATTCTACTGCTTGCCTGTTTTTTTTAAAGAAGGTCTGTCTTTTTTTCACTTGGCAAATGGCAATTACTGATTATATAAATTAGAAAAAAAATTGAGATATTTTCATTTAGATGACCCGTACTTGGAGACACATTGGAGAAAAATAATATAATACTGGAATTATTACAGTATTCTTTAAATATATGTGGAATTACACTCCTTTACAGTCTATACTCTAATTTTCATAATGAGAAACATCTGGAGAAGTCAACTCCAATTACATTGAATGCATGTTTCTACATCCCTTTGTATTGCAATATATCCAGTAAAGCAATATTTAAGTCCACTAAACACTATACAAAGTAACATTCAGACTTACACTTTAAACAGAACATTATAAACACAAGCTACCACCAAAACAGTTTTCATTCTTTTAGAAATATATGCAAGAATTACTATCTTTTTGTTTCTTTATGCAAGCAGTCCTGACTGCTCTTGTAGACGATGATTGTAATTGAAGTGTCAACCTAATTAACAACTAAACTTTGAATAATGCTAATGAGAACTGAACACGGCATCAGAGAAAAGACCAGCTCTACAGGTGATAAACCTTCACAGTAGTGACATTTTCCAGTGTAAAGTCACAGTTACTGTGATCTGATCAAAGAGGGAGACCCCCATTGGGTCCAATTATAACTATAGTTTTGAAAAAAAATTATTGAGTTATGATGTTCATAATCTATGCAGAAAGGCCTTTACAGTATAGGTCTTTCCCCCATAGCTGTGATCTTTTCAATTTATATCCAAGCTCCATAGATCTAGATAAAAGTTTAGAGCCTGATTCGTTTAGTCCATGGAAAGCATACACCAAGGCTCATTTACGTTTTTTCCTTACAGCTCAAAAGAAAAAAAAGTACAAGTTTGAGTACAAAAAACAGTTAAGCAGTTCAAGGTTGAAAAAAAAAATGCATGTCTTGGTTTTGGTTGGTATTTTTTTTGCTCTGTACTTTTATGATTTTTTTAAGTTATTAAAAATAAGGTTTATTTAATTCTGGGGTAAATAAATTTATGTATCCTTTGATCCTGCCCATCAACATTAGCTCAGTTTCACTAAAACAAAAGCAGTAACATGAGGTCAAAAAAAGAACCGTCAAACAAAACATTTGTCTCTGTCACGACAGACAAAGCATCTTCTACATATAACGGAGGGGAAAACTATAGATAACGTTCTTTTAAATCTACACTATTCTAATTATACCTTGTGAGTTTGGGGAAATTACGATAAGACAGGGAGAGAGAAGAAAGGGGGTAAAGGCAATGCAGAACAGAGGAATTGTAAGGACAAAGGTGGAGATGTGAACAAAAATGGTATTTTCTGGTTTTCTCAGTAAGTTCTGGCAGACCCTTTGTCCTCTAACATAAACTGCTAAACAGGATGCTTTAGGCAAAAACATGTTAAAAAGAACGATAGAAAGCAACAAATTTCCCACTTCATGGCAGTATTGATACGTTATTAGTTCAACAATATTAAGAACATCCCAGTGGGCTGGCAGTTTGGAGGCGGGTCCTCTAGCACAAAAGTGTGCGAGTCAGATGCACATCTTTGTGCTGCCATTCTGGAGAGTTCGAGCCCTAGAAAAGCTATGCTGGAGTTCAAAGAAAGTTCCTCCAACTTCTGCTTCTCTCAGGAGGCAATGCTAAAAGGCAGGAAGAGCTCTGTTATATTATTCTGCAGAAGTACCAGGAGCACAGTGCTCTTAAGAAAAAGCCTGCAGAGATAACGTGGGCCATAACCCTGATTTCCCAGGAATCCTGGCTGAAGCACACCTGAAGCACCCTTGGGGCCTGACTGAGTTTCCTTCAAGCCGAGGTCAACAACATGCATGCAGAGGGACAAACACGCATGCAGAGGGACAGGGCTTTCTCAGGGCTTACCCCACCGAGTGATGGCAAACTCAAGCTGAGTATTTGGGTAGGTTGCTGGCAAATTCTCCCAGCTCCACAGTTTAATACAGTCAATAGAGTAGATATAGATAAGAGGCTGGGTGCTTTGAACTACTTAGAAAAACTTAATGCATGGGAGGATTGTGATTGCTTAGATTCATGAACCTAAAATCAAGGAAGTGTGGGGACCCCTTTGGGTGCCACCATTAATAGCTCTTAAAATTTCAAGGAAAATACACAGTTCTGGCACCAAGCCAAAAAAACAACCAAGCAGCATCTTTATCAAAATCTTTTCCTCATATATGCTTTAATCCATCTACCCATCTACGATTAAGAATGACAGACTTTTTTTCTCCCCTTCTTTGCCTGTCTTAAGCAGAAATAGCCTTTTACAAAGTTTAAAAATAAAGAACTGCAAACAAACAAACCACAGGGGTTAGAATGCCGTTAAAATTTCATTCTGGCAGACACTAGTGGTCCATTTCAGAAATTATATCATTAATTTACACTAGAAGCAAACTGGTTTTATCTTCTCCCAGCAACAGCTTTTCATAGGAAGGTGACTTCATTGGACTGCTAAACACGAGCAATGAAGAGCAATGAGAGCTTCAGGAAGGTTTAAATCAATAGAATAGCTTTTCAGAAATTTAGAAAGTCATGAGATTGATATGTGATTTTGCTTTAATATGTCATCAAGTGTACTTAAAATTTAAAAATATATTGTGCTGGTGATTAAAACAAAAAGTGTAATTTTTTAAAATAGTCACCCTATGTCCTTTCTAAGATTCCTAAAATATAACTATCCAATCACAAACAAAACATGACTAATATCTCTACAATATCCATGTGACGAGAAGAACAGAACTGCACACAAAGTTAAAAAATAAATTAATAAAATCACGTAACTATTAATCAAAGCCTTTGCTCCTGCAAAAACTTAAACACGCATAAAACTCTAAGCACATATAGAAGTATTGAAAACATTTGTTGCCTGAGAAATGCAGAACCATGCACTGGTGTTCCCAATGACCACCAGATCTCTGAAAAAAAGATATCCAGGTATTTCTCTGGTATCAGTGACAGTTATTAAGCTTTAAACTGTTTTTTGGTGTTCCCCATCAGATCATGTCACTATAAAAGTAAGTCCACTCTCAACAGTGAAAAAGTGAAAGAAGATGGCAGAGAACAGAAACAAAACAAAACCTTACAACAAAACAGAATCTGATATGATTTAAATCAATAGTATTAATGAAAGGGCTTCTACATATTTGATATTATCTACACAAACAGGGCTACAGGCATCTCAGATAGCCCTTCAGCAGTTAATCACAAATACTTGTTTAGACAAAACCAACCACTTAAATGCAAGTGTTTTCAAAACCAGTTGCACTTTTCAATCTCACATTCTAGCTTCTAAAACTATATCGAGGTTCAACAGAATTTCAAAGCTAAGAATTCATTCAAAATAAATAGTTGCCTCATAACACTGTAAACACTGCTGACTGCTCTGAGTTTCTAAAATATATTAGTAATTTTTTTTTCTACTTTCTGATAAAAAAACATAATAAATTGTTATCTAAATTTTACAAAAAAATCTTTTTAGTTGCACTGTTACACATTGAGTACAACTTCTTTATAATATTATTAATCATTGCATTTTCAGAAATAATTTCCACTCTCAGTAATTGTTTTATAAAGTAACTTCAATTTTCCATGTGAATCACAGCCTACTTTTCAAACGCTACTTATAGAACAGTAATGTTCATATGCCCAATTTACAGTGTTACAATCCTGTGACTTCAGGCATCTGAAAAGTAACACTCTAAAAATCCATGTACATTCTCTATTGCATCATAGTGTGTAGGCACCGCACGCTACAAGGGTTATGCATCTTTCAACAGCTCTGTAGATTTTATGGTTAACAATATTTAGCGACCACAGAAGATGCTAAAAACCTATAAAGCCTTTTGTTCTATGAGGATCACATTTATACAAGTCCTGCTTAGTCTATGACTTGGTTGCTTTTTTCAAAAGTGTTCAAATCAGAGCAAAAGACAGACAAATCTGTCTTTTTGTCAGATCAGCTGCAAGATAATTGTTTTGCAGAATCAGCCCCAAAGTTTATAAATTTGTGTCTGTGGCCTCTGCTAATTCATATACATCACAAATGTTCTTTTTCTAAGTTACATTATTAAAGTGGTGACCTAAGTATTATTGCATTAGGAAATTTACTCCCACAGAAGTAACTATTTTCTTTTTTTTAATTAAAATGAAATGATAAAATTTAAAAACAAGAATGTCAGAAGAGAGGAAAAAGGAGGTTTTCCCCTCCTCTAAGAAAACAAAGGATTCCTGAAAGTTTTGCACTGATTTATTTTTCCAATTTTAAATACCTTAGGAGTAGCGGAACTGCTACTGGCATGGTAGTATTTCTCACAGTCAATAAATCTAAAATATTATGTGTGAATATTGGAATGAAGCCATTAAGAAGATTACAGCATGCAACACAGCAGAGGGTCCACATGAAAAAAGGACTGGTAATTCAGGACAACTGTGACCACTGACCTTTGCACAGTCAAGACCACTGGTCAGTCTGACAGAATAATAGAGTTCACATGCATAGAAAGTCATCTAGCCTGTAACTATAATTTAAATGCTTAAGTGAATGATTTAAAAATGCCTTTAAATCTCAGTTAATTTATTATACAGTTTATTAGACAATGCCGTATAATAATGTTTTTCCAATTTTTAATTTTTCATGAAAAAAATCATAATCGAGGCATTGTATTAGACACATTACCTATACACGGGTAAACTATTAAATATCTATGCTGTGAGGACATCATCAGACTTATTGATCAAGAAAAAAAATTGCTCAATTTCCTTCAGACACAAGAGGCATTTTTAGAAAACTCTTTGAAAACACTGCTTTTCATTTGTTAGGCTGTTAACCAACCTGGAATCAATTTTTGAAAGGGATAGTAAGACTAGAGCTTCTTTTATATTTTCAGCTCCTCATTCTATTTTAACACCCTTCAGAGGAACTCATTATGTATTTTCATCAGAAGCTTTATTGCCTTTGTACATATGCTTATAAGGTTTATTTACATAGGTTAAAAGGCTCCACATATGTATCTTTGACATTTGCTTTAATGTTTAAGTCTAACTTTCCATTTTAACCTTACACTCCTGAGTGTTACACTTCTTAAACCAAGATGTTAGCAGTTGCACTGCCCCTCATGAGTGCAAAAGACAGACAAGCATTTTGTCATTTTATGAGCCAAACACAGACAATTGTCTGTGCCTTTTGTTTTCAGGTTTTTCAACTATAATTGTATATGCATTCCATTACATGGTTTTAATTAAAGTGCGTTACAGATTGAAGTAGAGAAAGAGATAGGAATATTCCAATTAAAAGTTTCATTATAAAATCCTCAAATTCTGCAAGTATATTTTGCATAGAACTTAGTTGTTCTGTTTTGTTCAATATTAGATATGGAATGAAATATTCTAAGTCTACTGCACACTTGGATAACCTTCATTAACATTAATAATGGTAACATGCATATATCCTGGGGGAGAATACACTTCTAAAAGTATGAAGATCTATATCCCTATTTTCTTCATGCTAGCCTACTCATTTAGAGATCTTTTTGATACGCATCTGTAAAATACATGAGAAGTTCCTCTCATCGCACAAATACCCATTTTCACTGTTCAAAGGACCTCCAGCTACAACTCCAGTATCTTATGGAAGATGCCTAATCCTCAATTCTACATTCAGCTATTATTTGACAAGAGGCAGGTACCTCCATGACATTATAACCTCAACTTTATTCTCAGAATGCAAGGTCAGTCAAAATTACTGACACACCAGAGAATGACTAATTTTTCACTTAACTTGTTATACTCTTGAATGATAAGAGTAAAGTCAAAATTACTGTAGATATATATGTATGTGTGTATATACTTTTTCATACAGTAACGTAAAATCACAAAACATCAGAATAATTTTTATAGTCTTTTACATTTCTGAACTATAGTTGATACTGAGTCAAAAGAAAGACTGACCAGATAAAATATAAAAAGTCTTAGATTTTAACATCATTAAATCAAAGGGAACTGACATTAATACAATCATCAAGAGTTTGATTTCTATTGTACCAAATATATACAAATTACCAATGAAACCAAAAGACACAGCATGTCACTACAGTGCCTTACTTTGATTAAGACAGTTTGTTTTTATGATTTACAATTTCAGAAAATGTAACTCTTTGATTTTAGATTTTGATATAAAATTCCTTGTGCTGACAATCATTTGTGATAGCTTGAGCATCTATTTCTAAATAATCAAAACAGTGGTTTCACAATAATATTCTTTTTGAGATCTATTGGGAAAAACAAGGTAAGTGAATTTTGTGACTATTTAAAATGATACACAGAATGTGTTCCCCTATAGGCAATAAGAAAAAAAAAAGGGAGGGGGGGACGGAACACCCTCTGCAAGATCAAAGTCCAGAAAGAACTGGCACTTAATTTATCATCCTTTACAGACAAAAGACAGTTTTCGTCATTTCAAAAGGATCAGATGTCTTTTATGACAAACTGGGTTTGCAGTTTAATTTACAAATAGAATTCTAAGTAAGCAGTCTTTGCTCTGCCAAAGCAAATGACAAACAGTATAGGTTTTCATTCACACAGCCCTCAGCAGGATAGAAGAGATTAAAATAAAACTGAAATAATTTAGAGAAAACAAATAAATGTTTCAGAAAGTTGAAGAAGATCAAAGCCTGAATTTTCTGACCCCAACTGTACAAGCATTTCTTATTATATTGACCAGTGCCATCAGATCATTAATTAAAAGGAAAGCGCTGGCAGGTGGCAGGGAAGCAGAAGCTGATAATTGGCCCCCTTCTTCTTTTTGCCTTCAAAAACTCGTTCGTTCTTTTGCAAGACATGCCACTAGGCAGACAGAAATGCCTACTTTGTAATATAATGATTAAGATAAGATGAAGAGACTCTTGCGTTTAAAGCAGCTATGCCTAATGAATGCAGCTAGCTTTATAATTATGATCCTACTTTTACAATAAGGAATATGATATTCCATTCAACATCTCCTCAACTGTCGAAAAGGTAAAAATCTCAAATATAGGGGTCTACCCTTGGTGCTTTTCACCCTCTTTATAGCAGTTAGTAAAACCAGGCAAAAATAACTACTAGTAATTCAAGCATCTATATAAGAAAGAAAGAATGAAATATCTGTAAGACTTACCACTTCACCAGGTAGGTTGTTCAGGTCATTAAAAGGGGTTTCTAGAGTGTTTGTGTCAACATTTAGCAAAACCACATCCTCCAGTGATCTATTTTTAACTCTCTGTTAAGAGGAAAAAAAAATAGTGGAAAAGCATTTTATTATGGCATCCTCCTGAAATACATTTTCATTATAATATACTAGATAAGAAATTATGATTTTGCAATGGACAATAATGGCAAAGACAACAGTTTGAGCTTTAGATCTAGGATATGTGAATTAGATACGGGATTTGGAGTAGCTTTTAAAAACACTTCCTCTTCATCAAAAAATAAGGTTATATTAATCATCTCTGAAATACAAGTATAATCAAGAAATGAATTCTTGAAAACAAAGATTTACACAAAACACAGTTAAATATATTGGAACTACACTTACATCAACATTTCACTCTCATATTTGTGAAAGATAGGATGTTAATCATATAATCAGATGAAAAACAGAGAAACTAAGTAATTATTTGCAGATTTATGTAAGTCTATTGGTATTACAGAAGAATGAATGTAACAGTCTTTCATCAATGGACTTGACTAGCAGCTAAGAATTAAACCATGTGTCCTTTTCAGGAAAAAAAATGATGGAACTCCTTTTTATATGGTCCTACAATAATACATAATAGTGCGGTGCAGGAAATAAATGCAGAAGGAATTGAGTGACTTATTTTTCAGAGAAAGTCTTTCTGTTACATTATTTTCTGATGGAATAAGGAAAAAGATCTTAGTCAAGATATTACGATCAATGTAGGTAGATCATAAGAACTTGATCTGAGAGAAATGAAGGCTATGCCTAGAGTTAAGAAGACTCTTTTTTGGAAACACAAAAGTGCTAGTAGCTCAGACTGGGGGAGAACCCACCTCATCAGCTTAGCAAATGTGAATTGATCCTTAGAAACTGCTTTAGCAGAAGTGTAAATCAAATAAAGTTCCCAAATCAATTATCTACTCTGCATGATACTGAGACTACACACATAGGTTTAATGGTGTCATCAAATCATTACGGAAAGAGAAAGTTATTTATGACCCAGCTATAACTTACTGCTTAGGTGAGATCTTTTGTTCTGTTATATGTTTAAATCTGAAAAGGCTACCTCTCATTTTCTGGTAAAAAAATACTCATTTCTAAATTAATAGTTATGAATGTTATGGATTGACTATTAGACTCAAATTTTCAAAGGGACAAGAACATAAATTATCTGGGAAATCAGAACAATGCTGATGGCAACTCCAAAGTAAATTTTAACTGTTCTTATTATTAGGAAAATCTGTTGCTGAACCACTAAAAAAAGGCAGAAAAGAGCCATCAATGAGCTATAAAGTGACACAGAAACAAATAATGAAGCAGTGTTTATATGTCTCCATAAAACTTTTCCAAAATAAGATTTGAAAGAGAGGCATTTTTTACTTTGTAAAGCACCTGAAGCTTAAATTTTATAATTTTATATGCTGAAAATCATGTATTTCTGAAGCATTGTCATTAAAATTAGTATTTGTGACACACGCACTTCATGCTTACCAGTACAAAGATCTGTATAGTAAACTTACCTCTATTAAGCTTAAGTGGACGCCAATTAGATAAGGCATTGGTGCACTGAAGAAAAAGAAGTGGAAAAGACCAAATTATTGTTTTAAGTACCAACTACCACAACATTTGTGGAGCAACAAGTATTGACAATCTTGGCACATACAGTCCCTAGTTAACATTCACTGTTTAAGCCTGTAGTAAATGTACACAGTTGCTACTGAAGTTTTTACTAGACAAGGGAAATTTTATTTTCTTTTTCTCTGCAATAAAGATGACCACAAAATAAAGGATTCTGTTCCTAACTGTGGAAGTAGGAGCAAGAAGACGTGTAAGGCCTGCTAACTGGCTTGCCATTCCTAGTTTCAATAACCAACCACACTGTATGGCAGAGCTAACCCGGTAGATGTTCTCAAGGTGGTCTGTCACTAGAACTAAAATGGTTTTAAAACACCATTCTGGAGAATATGGTACCAGTTAGCACCACCTCACTGAAACACAAACATAATTAATGCCAGTTTTGGGTCTTAACATGCTTCTGAACCCTTCCTCAGTGGGCATTTGGAAGCTGTATAATATCCTGTTTAACTCAAGACAGTAAAATTCTCATTTCCAATTTGAGTAAGGCAAGGAACTATATTCTCAAAATAACCCAAATATCCACACAAAGTCTCTGGAGTGAGACCTCCTGTAGTACACAAGCAAGAAACTGAATTAGTCAGGCTAATTTATCATGGTTTCCTATTATCTTCAGTTTCCTCCTCTAGTGGATGTGTTCTGGCAATATCTGACAAAGAATACGCTCAGTGCTGAAGTGAAAAAACATCCATCATCATCACACTTTTGGGTACTGCGAGATTACTGAAAATACTTACTGCAGAGAAGTGAGCGATAGATAGGCTGGTGTAAGTAACTCAGTGGGAAACAAAATACTAAGGGAGCAGAAAGAAATTATCTTTGAAAAACAAATGGAAGGCAAGATGACTTATACTAAGTTACACAGACAACTGTTGTACAATAATTTCTCCCACTGTATTAATTCAATCACAGATCTGAGCCACTGGCACCGACTGATTGACTGTCTGAGGCCTAGGGAGAGGCTTCACTGCATCAGTACATGGGGCCTCATCAATTTGGTCCTAACTCTGGGAGCAAAAGTAGCAATTCTCAACTGTGTGCGACTGCAGCCAGATTTAGAAAAATCTGTACACACTATGGATTAGCCAATTGTTCTCATTAACAATGTCCCACACAACAGGATTGATGAGGAAAAAAACAAACTACCCCTCCAAAAATATGCCACCAAACAACCAGAACCTCCTAAAAACATCCAAAATACCCACCAAAAAACCAATAAAACCCAGACTGACTGAGGCCAAAACAAGTTTTCACTATGTTTATACTATCAAAATAAAGGTTTGGTGAGACTGCAAACTGCTTAAAATTTCTAGGCAATGGGGCTTTCAAAAAGGACATGCAGATGCCTGTGTCCCCAACACAGCTTTTTCTTAGCCCAGTACTGAAAAATTTTAATATCTCCTATAAACTTCATCCAGGCTGAGGCTTTATGCATCTGTGGACTAAACACAAGTTCCATGGACTGGTAAATGGGAGTCCCTCCAGAGCAGACACACATTTCTATCCAGCAAGGAATCAGACAGCTTTAAAACACTCTATAATTTCAAGAAAGCCTTATACTATGTAAGATATTTAACCAAGCCAATAAGAATGACTATGACTGACATGTAACTGTGGATTCTTCTGCTGAATATGCCCCAAAACAGATCCTCAGGTTTATCGCATTAGAGTTATCTAAGCGTTACAAATAACGTGAACTGGAGAAACTGCAGTGAAAACAAGCGCTATATCATGTATGCATTTTATGCACACTTGTTTTCTTGTACATCGACACTGTTCTAGTAGCTTCACCAGGTCTATACTGACTTAAAATAGCTGATGAGTTGCTCCATTAATAAAGCTGTCATTAAGAAGTGTAGCATGTAGCTCTTTTCTATAGAACAAAGCAACAGCTACATAATTTCAATTTTTAGAAGTTAATAGAGTACAGGTACAAAGCTAATTAGATAAACACGTCTTGAAAATGCATGAAATAAAAGTTGCAGGTATGGAAAGGAAATTTGATCATTTTCAGCAAAGAATAAATTTTATTACTGATGGATTCTGAAGCCTTAACAGCAGTGGTTTGTAATAAGGTATATGAAATTGCTTGATATGATACTACTGGGAGCTGCTATATAGTTTTTCTTTTGCTTATGCATGTTATTACCAAAAATGTTATTAACCTACAGCATCATTGCCTAAAATAATTACTATGTTATGCAAAACATGCAAGTTAATTGGAAAATAATTGTCCCATTCTCACGAAAACAGGCATGTGTACATCCCAATTCAGAAGAGACCAAATCTCATAAAAAGACATGCTGGAATTGTAACTTGAATTTTCTAATTGCATTATATTCTTAACAGAGCATCAGTAGAACAGATGCTTTATCATCCACAGAGAAAACTGTCATACATTCTTATATCAGTGACTTAGTTTTCCCAGAAATTACACGGAAATTTGATGAAATTATCTCTCTGCTTTACAAAAATTAATTTTATTCAAATATAATTACTATATCAATGTTCAAACTTAATTTTTTAAAAGCTTTCTTGAAAGCCAGCCACCTACTGGGCTGAGTGCAACAATATCGTTTTGCTTACCAAAATATAGAGGAGGAATCAATTATTAATTATTCAGAAAACTCCATTTTTAGTAACTCGGCTGTGTTTTCTTCCTCTAAGAGCTAAAATAAAAATTACTTTCACTAATATTTTGCTGTCTTTTAGAAAAATAAATTTATTATCTCTTCTTTTTTGGATGGTTGCTCCAATTCTCACATTGGAGTTCTCTTAACAGAATTGAAGGCAAAGATAAGCTACTGAGTTGGTGGAGGGGGGGGAACATCCCGATGTAAATAACTACACAATACATTCACTGGACCTCGCAGGTACCCATAACCTGGCCAATCCTGACGGTATTACGATCCACACTGACGGTCAGTACTGGTGGGTTTGGACAACTTTAAGACCATACGCTACATTATGTCTAAAAGCAGTCCATATATCAGGTTGCCTGATAGAACCTAAGAGGCTTTCTGATTAAGAAGGCAAGTGGAATAATTAAAAAAAATTTTTAATGTAGATCTGTTTTACTTAAAGATATATTTTTATTTTTTCATGCTCACAAAATGTACCAGTTAGGCAGTTTATGCAATTTATGACATTCTAACCCACAAAGAATTATATTATTTATCTTTATGAAGTTCTGAAGATATATAGTCAAATTAATTTTAAAAAATACGGACTTCCCTCTAAATATGTTGGATAATTAACACACAAAAAAAAGTTGCAGGATCAAGGCCTATATTTAAACTAGTATATTTAAATGTATTTTATCTTTGTTTAAAAATGGCCTTACTCTCTTGGAACAAACAAAATTATCAAACTGATAATCCCCTACTTCACTTATTTGAATACCATTTCAGAACAACACGAAGAAAATGAGAGTTTTTGGGAGACATCCCAACAAAGTCCAAGTGAAGCAATGACAGTGTATTTTCTAGGTATAAAATGCATGTTAGGCTAAAAGGAAAAAGGACACTTGAATAAAAACAACTTTGCTCTATCAAAATAACAAAAATAAAAACATAAAAAATAATTAGAAAATTATTTTGTAAGTTTAAATTGACAGGATCCTCTTGAACTGCACACTAGCTCTGGCCTAGCATAAACATTGACCTTCTGAATTCATCAAGACTTTCTAACTTGATATGGGATATATGTATGAGGAAAATATTTATTCAGTGTTATAAGCCAAAAAAGAGGAAAGTGTTTTATGTAGTTTTATTACACTATTCCAACCTGTCTCACAATAGAACCATTCAAACTAATCATGATCAGACAGAGAAATGTAAATGCACAAAAATCTGAGTTAAAAGGTCTGAATTCTAGTTGCTGTGGTAAATTCATCAATTGTGCATGTCCTTTCATGAGCTTTATGTTTCCATTTGAACATCTCAAAAAAAGGGAAACTTTTTTCCCCCCAATCTATTGTACTACTGTAAAAAAGAAAAAGGGATATAAATGAGTTTTACAAGTTTAAGAAACTCCATGCCTCTTTTTAATGAGTAAAAAAATTCTCAGGTCATGCCATAATGACCTAGAATCTCAACTATTATCATCATCACAAGAAGCTGTGTACAGCATCTAACATTATTATTTCTGGAAACATTATATGTGCTTAGGCGGGGAAATAAAAAAACCTTCCAGTATTCAGGATGCACTCTGCAGGGTACAGCTTGAATAAAGGTGTTGATCTGTGAGAACAGCATTTATGGATGTTACTGAAGAAATTACAAAGCTTCTGGTGGTAAGCTCAAGTAACACAAAAACTAAACAAATAAATCCAAGTTCTACTCCCATCTTCGTGCATTTTATCAAAGCTAGGAAGAAAAACAATTAGCACAGAGTTTCTTCAAAAGAAAACTATCATTAAAGATGAAAGGCTTAGCTATAGTTGAAAGTAAAGGGAGGAGCAGCAGAAGAATATTTTCTTTGTTTTAAAAACAATAAATAACATACATATGAAGTCTAGGAACAACCCAATAAAAAAAAAAGATGAGCAAATATTGTAAGCTTGAGGAAAAACTATCAAAGAGACTTAAGGAAACATAATGAGAATTTCTTTGAAAACAAGCAGTTCGATAGACTGGGTGTAGTTCAATGGAACATCAATATTTATAGGTTCCAGGAAAAAAAAAGACAAAACTAAAGCCCAGCAAACGTACAAGCATAATTTATTTCTGTGAAGAAAAAACTTTAATAACAGAAGTATAGACTTATGTTGGTAGGCATCTGACTTGGACTTGGGTTTTATACACAATAATAATTCCTGGTCTCTAAAATGGCCTTAAATGGTTCATTTTTCCACCACAGATGCATAGGGTCTAGTTAAAGTTAAAGTCTCCAGGGATGGATATTCCTGTTTTAGGTGCTTTCATGGAAACTCTTATTTTGTATCTTTGGCACTACTACAAATAACAGAAAATAGATCTCTTCTTAGCCTGAAACGTTGAAACACAGGCATGTGGTAACATCATCCCTTGAAGGATCAGAAGTGACTCAAAAAGTGATTCCTATCTGTTCAACTTAAAAGTTCGCCAAAACCACGAAGTCTGTCATGCAAAGAGAAACACGTCAGAAGTAGCACAACTCTTATAATGAAGATTGTTGAAGGAAATTTTAAGCTCTTTCAGGAAGATGTTGGATAGGATCCTGAACCTGGCTGAGCCTAAAATACAAATATTATGTCACTGTATAGACTTAAGGGAAACATTGATGCCTAATAACATTTGATTCTGGAAAAAAAATGTTTTTTTCTGAATACTTCTACCAGTATCATTTATCTCATGTTGAAATGAATGTCAAATAAAAGAAAACTGTAACACAGTCACATTCAAATTATTGAATGCATTCACTAACAATTAAACAGTAACAGTTATTATAAACATGATTCTAAATGCTGCATTGATTGTAATCAGCACTGTACTTCAAGGAACCCATTCAAACATCAGGTAAAGGCATGCTGAAACATCTCCATTCAAGTAATCTTTTATGCATCGGCTTAAGTGCTTTCATAAACTAGATCCTGCACATTTAGTCACGTAAGTACTTAGGATTTTCATCAATTACTTAGAATTACAAGACAGGTAAGCATCTCAGAAATGGGGGTAACAGGTTAGCTGTCTTACCAGCAGTAGTCCAGAAGATGTGGAGGAAGCACTGGGATGTAAATGTGTTGCCAATACATTGGATATAACAATGCAGCTGATGCATGAACACAAGCAGTTAACTAAAAATAAAAATACACACAATTGGCAACAAAAAATATGAATAAAAAGAAAACACAAAATCTTAAATTAACTTTTAGACATGCAAGAATTTTAACCGTCTCAGACCACCCATTATTTCAATTTTTTAAATTACTTTTAATTGCTTAAATGCATCTATGAAGAATTCTGATATACATATACAAGTATAACATTTGCAAGAAGTCAAGCAAACAAGTCAATTCAGTTAGCCCTGCTCAGCTATTTCCTTGAAAAAAGGAAAACAAATATGCACTCCTTGGTGTTTATCATGGTCAACCGCAGGTACTGCCATGAACATACCGAACTCAAGTGCACCCCAGCTGCACTCCACTGAGCGAGAAAGACTCAGGGGAGTCTTTTGGTCCACACTTCTGCTATTTGGAACTGGAATTGATCTGAACCTGCCTGAAGCCACAGAAGAGCACTAAACTCAGGAGCAGGATTAACTCCTGTTCGGATCACTATCTTGATTTCCAAATTACCTTTAAAAAAATCTGAATATTCCCTGTGACAGCCTGGCAACTTTATTACAATTTTCCAAAACTCCCTTCCCAAAGCAGAGACTGGCAAACCCGGCACTCACATCACCAGAACATGAAGGACTCTTTGACCAAGAAAAGAGGTGTTAAGATCTGCTTGGACATCCCTGTTTTCCTAAACCAAACAAGCAAACAAACAAAAAACATACACACAAAAAAATCACCCACAACCCAAAACAGTCAAAGGAATTTATTAGAAACAGTCAAGTTCACTCTTTGAGTGAACAAAATAATGTGCAATACCTAAGAATTCATATTTGATCTATCAAACACCACTTCGCTGTCAGGGAGTCACTCAGATTTATTTATTTTATTATGCAGTCACAGACTTGCAACAGAATGAGAAAACATCAAGGCTGTGTTTAAAATGAGGTAGCCTATATGCAGCACATAATCCACTACAAACCTCATTAAAAGAAGGAAGAAAAAAAATTAAAAATGGAATGCCCCATGTAGAAGACACCAAGCTTATGGGAAAAGACAAGACTGTCCTAATGTTTTATATCACAAGAAAATTACTATCTGAGGTTAACTTGATAATAGTGCTGTTTATTAGACACGTACTTTTACAGTAACATAGCCAAGAGCTAAAAATAAAATGTAAATCCTGTCCATACAGCAAGTGCTAAAACATTATGGATTTTACACACAAAAAAAACCCCAAACCCTTTGTTGAGCACATCAGCAGTTAAAGCTCTCACACTCTGGCTGTCTTGGACATTTAGACTTGTAAATAAAAATTATACTGCAATTTTGGACATGTATTTTTACACTAAAAATGAAAAAAGTAATTATAAGACACTGAAATCACGGACAATTACAATTTGTGCAGCACAGTTTGCTCAGCACTCAGATTAATATAACACGATTAAATATGGAAAAGAAGAGGGTCTGAAAGCTCCTGAGGGATATCATTAGGGCAAATTGCCAAAGAATGAAACATGAGCCAGTCAGGAGAGTCTGGAAGCTGCAGGAGTACCAAGGGACTTGAATGTTCGACAGTTGGAGCTTCAGTAATGTGTGAACTGCAGGTTAAGGTATCAGGAGACTCTGCTCACTGACACACAGAATGTCACTATTGACCAGCGAACTGCCCAAGCCTGACAGCTACACTACGGAAAGCCAAGTATATAATAATTCTGTATTTAAACTCTTCATTTCAGATTAACATCTCGTTTCTCAGCTTTACATCAAACCACCACAATTACTCTCATTTTGCACTTATAATAATGGCTATTTTAATAATTACTGCATTGTTACTGAGAATTAATTGATTTGGCGGAAGAAATAAATTAGTATCTTATCCTTCTTCTAGATAGTAGGATTTATGAGTTTTATTTTCATATTGTCTCTCTCTGTAGTTTAACTATCACTACTGATAGTGCAGTCAAGCTCAGCATCGTGACTTTTGCTCTTTTACTCAAAATGGATATGGAATTACTAATTAGTATGTCCACATACTATTGTACATAGTATATAAATTTCAAACCACAACTGTCTATATAAAAATTAGCATTTCATGTATTTCACTCACAGACTGAAATAAAGCTGAGCATACAGTTATACAGAATATCCCCCGATGTATACAGCTGCCTCCTCCTCCTCTTAATAGGCATTCATAAATTATGAATTAAGATGACTATACTTATTTGCATAAAGAAATATTTTCCTATCTTATGCATATGTCTATGCTATATTTTAGTTCTCACTTTAACAGAAGAAGTGGATAATTCCTTAAAAAACATTTGAAGTTTTATTCACTCTCTTGTGAATACAATCTGTATTTTGCTGTGGCACACAGACTGGCATCTATTTAACATTTTTAATTTTTAAAAAATCTATTAAATTTTAGCTTTTCTAGCAGGAAAGGTAAAGATTTGATTACTTACACATCAAGGTTTTGTTGTGCTGTTCCTTACTTTTCTATTTAATAACATCTTTATGTAATATCTTATTTAAACATTTCCATCTACACTGCTGCAGTAGGTTTCCAAACATTTTAGTGCGGCAAGAATATGTTTTATAGCTTCCTGTTGTATACAGCCTATAATGCAAGCAGCTATGGGATTCTGCTGCTCTTCAAACTGTGCGACATTTTAATACTGTGTCAACTCTGCATTTAAGCAAATACTGTTAAGATAGTTATGGATTTCATATTAAAAATTGCACATTTTCTGGCAAATTCTCTTTTTGCCTTTTTCACTGTTTCAACAGTGATGCATTTCTCAAATGCATTAGCTATTTAAATAACTTACCTCTGACATACTCACTTTTCTAAATAGAATGGGGACTACTGCAATGCCTAGAATAATGCTGCATGTCTTAACTAACCAGATAGTTCAAGGGATCTGAAAAGCATTTGGGGACCAGGTAGAGTCCACTTGCTTACATCAGAACTCAGAGGTCTATAAAGCGACACTGGATTTGGGGAGTGTCTGACAGCATCTGTGCTCAGGAGCAGAGCCAGCTAGAGCCCCAGCAGGCACCCCACCATCTCCTCCTTCAGTGTTCAGGATGGCAGAGAGCACGGCACAAGCTCCTGGGTGCAGAAATGAGCATCTGTTGCTTGACCATTGGTGAGATCTTTTGCAGAAAACAATTCCTTGCACTATTTAGGGAAAAAAGCATTTGCATGGAGCCTGTCTGTTGATTGCTACCTATTCCAAAAGGAACTATCAAGATCCACCTTTAAAAAAAATAATTGCAAGAAAAGAAATGTCACAGATCAGAAAAATCTCTTTTTCAAGACAAGTAGTTGTTATCCTAAATTGTCTTGAAGTGATCCTCAAGGCTGTTTTGCCACGGACACCTGGAGATTACACCAACTGTGAACTGTGATCCCCTTTACAGTTAAGCTTGTATACATGAAGTGCACCTGTCCAATAAAATTTGATATGTATTCATGTATACATACACATGTATCATTACTCAACATCACAGTTTGCTAAAAAAACTTAAATTGTAGCAGAACAGTGCTGCAGAACTTAGCTACTGCAGACCTGATAGCTTATTACACGCTTTGAGGCAACAAATGAGGTTGACATGCTTATAGTCCACTGCACTGGAAAAGACCTACCAGAGTTGTATTTCTAGCCATAATAAAATGGCTGAGCAGTTTTTAAGTAAAGCTTTTGTCTGCTGAAAACCATTTGCCAATATTGAACAGAACTTACCATTTCTGTTTCCAACAATTTTGATTTTTAAGACTGCTTTTTTATATTTCAAAGAATGTTTTCTAGTTTTAACAACTTTTATTTAAAAAGTAAATTAACTCTAGTTTTAAAATTGGTTTAAATAATGTGGTTTTAAATCACATAAACAATATGAGTCAATAGCACAAAACAGCATGAGTCAATTATACAAAACTTTTAACAAAACATTTCAATGTTCAACCCTCTAATAAGCAGAAAAATTTAATTTGAAATCCCTAGCATTCACATTGGACATGAAAAGAAGTTTCATGTCCTATTCTATTAGCAATGAATTTACTAACATTACTGAGTACAAAGTTTGAGTCTGTTTCTGATAAGACACTGCAGCCAGCATTACCGTACAAGCCTGCATCACCCTGCAGGGAAGGTATGTGGAGTTTTTCCAGAGTTTTGTAGTGATTCTGGTACAACAATTTTACCTTTGTGTCCCGAAAGAAAAACCTGCTGGAACTATGTGCCTGGTGATATCACAGCCTCCCCAAACAGGGAGAACCACGTTACAAAGTTTGTTAGCAAAATTCATTACTGTGTGACAGTAAATTGATTACTACCAAATCCCTGCAAGACTGAAATAATGCGCAAATTCTAGAGAATGACGAGTTACTTTCCTGCTTATGGCAATAAGCAGCCACTTGGGAAGGCCGTTCTTCAAAATCTACATGCTGCTGAACAGGAACAGCTCAGGAGAAGTTTTAGTTCAAGACTTGATCAAAGCAGATTTACCTGCTCCTGGGAAGAGTGCAGCTCCTCCCTGTCCCTCACGTGGATACAGTAATTCTGATATGTGTATCTGCTACTCCAATGCTCCCTTCTATCAATGAACCTTTCTACTCCGCATTTCAAAGGAACTGGCCCTCTTCCCCCTACCCTCAATTTTAGTTTTTGCTAAAACACTGCACCATGTCTACACCCACACTACTAAAGCTGAAAGATTTTCTGCAGGCTCACACATTATGCTTATTTGATACCTATTCACATAATTTCAATGAGTAACATGAAAATAATAATTCTGTATCCTACACAAAATTTATCTAGCAGTTACTCTCTATCTATAGAAATTATTTTCTTTAAAGCTTTTTCTATAACCAGAGGTAAAAAAAGAGGAAGAGCATAGGTGGCAAGATTTGCACAGACCACAACGCACAAACTACAAAGACAGAAACTGATTAGCAGAATCTTGTTAGACAGCCAAAAACAGCAACAGAAGTTAGACAAAATGCTGAAGTAAAA